GTCAATGCCCGGCCGGCAACGGATCGGAGAATTCAAATTTGGATATGCAGAGTGGGAAAAGGAATAAGAACGAGTGAGAGAGCGGATCGGCGCGACTCTTCTAGGCTGCGCGCCGAGGTCGGTGTCCGAGCGTTACATCGTCGATTCCGCCTGAGTCAACGACGGATTGTCACGGTGCGAACATCGCGAAAAAGTAGTTCGACTCGCGAATTAAGACGTAGTGAATCGCCGGTTCGGCAAGACGTATAAGTTCCAAGCTAGGAGGAACCTCGATCACAGGAAATAGCGGCCACGCAGAAGTTCGCGGTGAAGCGAATAAGAGCCACGATTTGTTCCAGTAACTAGGCATTTCGGAGTTGCGTTCAACTCGGGTTCATTGGTCGATTGCAGACTGAATCCACCGTCTTAGGCCACCTCTAAGATTGAATTAGAAACGGCTGACGGCTTGGGCAGCCCCGTTGCGTTAAACGCACTGCTGCAGTTCGTCATCCTCGAGGCCGGCCTGGTGCGGTAAGTTACATCGCGCCCTATAGGGTCAGGTCTCGAAGCTCGTTGCTACGAGCTTCCACCAGTTACGCGGTGTGGAGAGACGAACGTTGAGCGTGATTCTGCTCCGTTTCACGGCAAGGGACTTGCTGGAAAAGCCGCTGCACTGATCGAGACAAGAATACAGTCCGCTGCGCAGAGTTCTGCCCAGGAGTGGCAACTCTTTCCGCACGAGCTTGAAGTGCGACGCAATACTCATTAATCCGCATTTGCAACATTTCAGAAACACTGAACGTCGAAGACGTTGACGAGTTTGAACCGAGGTCAAGGACGACTACGGACGGCGCCTCCTAATCCGACGACGGACGGGACGTTACATTCCCCGGTTATTCCGGACTCCAGGCCCGACGTACGACGTGTCTAGGGACCTTACTAGTTAAATAAACGGCTTTAAAAACGGTGAAAATCAGTGTCCGGTTCTTTTCGTGTTCGTACCTCGATTCCGGACCCGTTAGGGGCCACCTATCCCCTAACACGAACAAACGCCTCTCAAGACTTGACATGTAATGTCATTTTTTTGGTTATAACACAGCTTCTAAACTTACAATGTAAGAAATAAAAATAAAATAAAACAGTTTTTGCTAACCGGACAGAATGCGACAATCAACTCACAGGGCTTACAAACAAAGGAAACGCCACCGCTCGCAGAAAAGAACCGTATCGCATTATTCTAACGCCAAATAACCGAACCAACAATTACTTATCAGCCTCAACAGGCAGGGACAAACAAACAAACAATAATAGTAACAATTGACAAGGACCGTCAAACACAACCCCTGATTCCATTGTTCCACAGGTTCTATTCAAAGACTTTCAATAGATTTCAATGAACTCCTCCTTCCTTTCCCGCGATTAAACAATCCCCCTTCGCACAACCAATACGCTCTTAATCAGATCACGTTCCCACCCTCGAATCAAACCATCAAACAGACCTATTCATCCATGAGACACGCAGGGTCCATTACGCTATCCCACAAAGATACAAAGATACAAAGAAACAAACTGAATGCACGCCTCTCATCCCTCGCGTCCTTCGACACAGGACCGAACATAGCTAAAATTCAAGACTCAACGTCTAGTCGTAAACCGAAGCACATCGAAGAGGCCCCCTTCCCATCTTGACCCACTGCTTGAACGATCGACACGCGATTCACAATTCATAATCCTTCGACCTCGGCACCATCGAAGCACTCACATGACCGACAGACCCGACCCGTAGTCCCGATTAACGCGCAGTCAAGATGGAAAGAGGGAAGCAGGGATCACACCCCCCCCCCCGCGTGTCCACTGAATCCCGCTCGCTCGATCTTAACCGTAATGAAGCAAACGACAAAGATCCTCCCGTTTTGTTCACCCATCTCACATCATACGCATGCCTATCAAAATAATCAATCCCCGTTCGATCCTAGAACTCAACCTTTGTCAGAGCGTACAAGTTAAACCCCGACATCGCAAGATACACAGATCAGCGGCAGACATCAGAGAATCTATATCTATCGATTCCCACATGAATATGAATACATAGATGACATTCCGAGATCAAGAACGTAAAAAGGAAAGAGAGCAATCCCTCTTCATGATTGCAGGTTCATTTCCACAAACATTACCCCTCGCCACTCGCGCATCCTTATGCACATATACTCTTAAACGCATATGTAAAAAGAATCTAAATAAAATAAGTCAAACGATAAAAAGGAAAAATATGTGTATATACAGGGTATTCCACGAAACTTGACTACCTTAAATATATCGCTTATTTTTTGTGATAGAAAAAATGTCAAGGGGAGAGAATATTCTGTTGGAAGGTGCCAATACGGGGATGGGACGAATTTTTTTCTCGAGGTCATTTTTTTCGAGATATCAAGGTCATCGAATTTTTTTTAAATTGGACTGCATATTTTCGCTATAACAGTCTTATAGCTTATAAAAAAACGAATCCATCTAGGTGCAATATGTTGACCATCACGTGACCTTTAGCGAGGAAATTATGAAATGTTTGTCAGTAACTTCAGTACGCGTTCGGGGACAATAAATGAAGGAATTTCAATTTCATTGAAACAGTGTACCGCGTTATTGTCCTTTCATCGGTTGAAGTATGTTTACAAGCATTATTATCAAATCGATAATCTTCGCAGAAAATTCTCGCTTTACAATCAGTATCAGCACAACAAGCTACGACATCGGTATCAGTACAATAAGCTTATCCATCATGTACACTACAGCAGAAAAAGTTGAAATGATTTTAATCTACGGAGAAGCAGGGAGAAACTCCATGCATGCCCAACGGTTATATGCAGAAAGACATCCTGATCGTCATGTTCCTTCCAGACGAAATTTCGACCGTATAGTGAAACTATTTACTGAATCAGGCAGTGTCGTTCCACCTAAACGAAATCGGTCCAAGACCAAAACGAACGAAGAAGCTGAAATCTCAGTTTTGGCTGCGGTACACAAAAATCCACACATTAGTTGCTCACAAATTGCACACGAGTCTGCCTTGTCTCGCACAGGCGTTTGGCGAATTTTAAAGCGGCATAAATTCCACCCGTACCATGTTTCATTACATCAGGCACTAGATGATAATGATCTTGAAAGACGACGGAAGTTTTGTAATTGGGCATTCGAGCAACTGCGGAATAACCAACGTTTCTTTAATTACATGTTATTCACTGACGAGGCATCGTTTACAAATGTCGGACAAATAAATAAGCATAATAAGCATTATTGGTCGGTGGAAAATCCAAATTGGTTGAGGCAAGTTCCGAATCAACGCCCATGGAGTGTGAATGTGTGGTGCGGTATCTTCAACCATCAAATTATTGGCCCATTCTTTATCGAAGGAACATTAAATGGACAAAAATATTCAGATTTTTTAACCAATGAATTACCCGCATTGTTAGAAGATGTTCCATTACAATATCGATCAAGGATGTGGTTCCAGCATGACGGCTGTCCAGCTCACAATGCTCTTATCGCGCGCAATGCATTAAACAGAATGTTTCCCGATCGTTGGATAGGACGAGGTGCAAGGATTTGTTGGCCAGCTCGATCACCGGATCTTACGCCGCTTGATTTTTTCCTCTGGGGACACTTAAAAGATAAAGTTTATAATGATCCTCCCACAACACCAGAAAATATGCGAGAAAGAATTTTACACGAATGTAGATCAATTAGCATAGAAGTGCTTAATGATGTAAAAAAATCATTCATTTGCCGTCTCCAAAAGTGTATTGAAGTTAATGGTGCACATTTTGAAAATCTCTTGAAATAAATATTGTGCACTGAATAATACAAATCTCGTCTTTATCTTTTCTCCTTATAAACATAATTTTCTCGTTAAAGGTCACGTGAAGGTCAACATATTGCACCTAGATGGATTCGTTTTTTTATAAGCTATAAGACTGTTATAGCGAAAATATGCAGTCCCATTTAAAAAAAATACGATGACCTTAATATCTCGAAAAAAATGACCTCGAGAAAAAAATTCGGCCCATCACCGTATTGGCGCCTTCCAACAGAATATTCTCTCCCCTTGACATTTTTTTTATCACAAAAGATAAGCGATATATTTGAGGTGGTCAAGTTAGGTGGAATACCCTGTATATACAGGGTGTAAACCTACAGGTGGGCAATATTTTAACAACGTGTTCTATGGTCAAAAATAAGACGAAAATCAAGAGAGAGAAAATTGCGTTTGGGGCTTTGTTAATTAGTTATTAACGTTTAAAAATTTGGCGTTTCTGCCCCTGAAATAGAGCAATCCGACCTATACCGGCGGGTGTTTTCTCCGCAGGTCTGCCGAGCCACCTGACTCGTGGATCCGTGTTGGAGACCAATACGTCAGGGTGAGTCGGTACATGAAGTACCTGGGTCTCACCCTGGATGGCCGTTAGCGCTTCGAAGAACACTTCTACCGCCTGGCCCCCCGACTCGAGGGCGTAGGGAACGCCCTCATGGGAATTTTACCCAATCTCGGGGGGCCAAAGGAAAGTATACGTNGTATTGGCGCCTTCCAACAGAACATTCTCTCCCCATGACATTTTTTTTATCACAAAAGATAAGCGATATATTTGAGGTGGTCAAGTTAGGTGGAATACCCTGTATATACAGGGTGTAAACCTACAGGTGGGCAATATTTTAACAACGTGTTCTATGGTCAAAAATAAGACGAAAATCAAGAGAGAGAAAATTGCGTTTGGGGCTTTGTTAATTAGTTATTAACGTTTAAAAATTTGGCGTTTCTGCCCCTGAAATAGAGCAATCCGACCTATACCGGCGGGTGTTTTCTCCGCAGGTCTGCCGAGCCACCTGACTCGTGGATCCGTGTTGGAGACCAATACGTCAGGGTGAGTCGGTACATGAAGTACCTGGGTCTCACCCTGGATGGCCGTTAGCGCTTCGAAGAACACTTCTACCGCCTGGCCCCCCGACTCGAGGGCGTAGGGAACGCCCTCATGGGAATTTTACCCAATCTCGGGGGGCCAAAGGAAAGTATACGTCGAGTTTATTTGGGAGTAGTGCGGAGTATCGCGTTATACGGTGCTCCGATGTGGAGCACCGACCTGATGGCCAGTCGGCGCAGCATTTCATTGCTGCATAAAGTTCAACGCCGGCTGGCCATCAGAGTCGTTAGGGGATACCGCACTATCTCCTTTGAGGCGGCGACACTCCTGTCGCGATTGCCGCCGTTCGAGCTCCTGGCGGAGGCGGACGCTGAAGCGTATTTCAGCGTCCGTCGAGCCCGTCAGGGCGGCGGGGTCTCGGCAGGAGTGACGGTCGAAGCGAGGCGCCAAGCTCGGCTACGCGCGCTGGACAAGTGGCATACCTGGCTCTTTTCGCCACGGTACGTCCACAAGCCCGTCGTCGAGGCTGTCCTGCCCAACTTCTGGGACTGGTTGGACAGAGGTCATGCGTCTCTGACCTTCCGACTGACGCAGGTGCTTACCGGGCATGGTTGCTTCGGTGAGTACCTGCACGGAATCGGTCGGGAGGCGACGGCAGTGTGTCACCATTGCGGGCACGGGGAGGACACCGCACAGCACACGCTGGAGTTTTGTCCAGCGTGAAGTGCGCAACGCGGTGTCCTCTTTAGCGCGGTTGGGAGGGACCTCTCGCTCACAGCATTGGTCCAGGCAATGCTGGCGGGCGAGAGGAGTTGGAAGGAGGCGGTCTCCTTCTGTGAGATAACGCTCTCGCAGAAGGAGACGGCCGAGTGGGTCCGAGAAGCGGCGGACCCTGCTCGGCGGAGGAGGCGGGGGAGGAGAGCCCTCTCCTCCTCCACTTAGGGGGGCGGTGTCCTCCACTATCACCGGTGGGGCCGTACTTTGGCCCCACTGGGGCCATCGATGTGCGGTGGCCGGGAGGTACGGGGGAGGAGACACGTTACTCTCCACCCCGCTACGTCGTACTCGTGGCTAGTACCTCGGGTGCGGCGGGGGTGGTGGTGTCTCCTCCCCCGAGCGTCCCGAACACGATGTTCACGGCGCGGCGTATGCGCAGTGCCCGTGCAGATGGAATGCACTTTGATGCATCGCAGATGCACGGGCGCCGCGGGGGTTGCCGACTGTCAGCGTGGGGGCCCTGACCGTCATGTTATGGCGGCCCCGAGATGTGCGGCGCAGTAGTGTGGCCCTACTGCGCCGCGGCGCCTTCTGCTCGTACTATTGGAAGAGCTTCCTCCCCCCCACCCCAGAGATTGGAGGACGCCCCCTTAGGGGGCGAGCTGTTTCGCCAGGGGGGCACAGGTTGCGTGCTTTTTAGCGATCCCGGTGTCCCCCTGAAGGTGAAGAGGACAGCCACCGGAGGGGTTTTAGTGGGTGGAAATCCCACATAACCCTTTCTCCCACCCCCAGGGGAGGAAGGGTATCTTTGAAAGATTTCCCCTGCGTCATCAAAAAAAAAAGGTTCCACGGCCACGGACCTGCCTGGCGATTGGGCAGGTGGGCGGGGAGAGAACCTCGACGTGGCGCGTCCTCAGGTGGCGATTAGGGGAAGGCTCGCTGCACCGGTGGCCCGGCCTTCGGGCCGGACCTTCATTGCAGAGGGTAGGAGGGAAATAAAATACCTCCCGCGGACCAAACACAAACATACCATAGCCCTGTGGTCATGTCTCGCAGGAGCGGGGGGGCTTGCCTTAACCGGCCGGCCCGCGAGGATTAAACCTCTATAAAAAATACCTAGCCTCAAGCTGCGGTGCGTTGCGAGGGGGCGTTTCTTGGTGGATGCACCGAGGCATGGCAGGCGGGTTAGTCCTGTCGTTAGCGGCCAACCCCTGGGGACCTCCCGCTCCCCAGGCGGTATCTAGGTTTCCCTGGGGCAAGAGCGGCTCTTCCTCAGGGTGACCACCACGTCGACCGACTCCACTCGTGGGATGCATCATGGAGTCTACAAAAAATCGATTAAAAAGGGGGTTTTATGGGAGGACAGCACAGAGGAGCGAAGTGAGGAGGTGAGGAGCCAGGAGGGCTCCGTATGTTCCGTGTGCTTAGTGGACATTGGAGTACGGAGAGGTGCTACGTCACCTGTAGGGAGGGGTGTTTCACCCCTACGGTCGCCATCGGTCGTGTCCGCCGCATCGTCTGCGGTGGTCTCGATGGCGGCCAGTGGCGAGGACACAGGGTCCGATGTGTCGGGGAGTTCCTGCGCGACTAGGAAGTCCGCGGGAAAACGAAAGAGAGGGCGCCCCCCAACTACTGGGGAGTACGTCGAATTGGCGGAGGCCAAGGAGCGACTGGCGAGGGGGGAGCGCGAGGAAAAGGAGCTCGCCGAAGAGGTGAAAGTCTTCGATCCGAGCGTGCCCCCGTCGAGGACAAGGAGCAAGGAGAATCTTGCCTCCGAAAGAGAGCTCCAGGCAGGCATGAAGGAGTGTCCGACCTCCTCCCTCACGTCCCAAATATTGAGAAGATGGCGGTTGCCGAGAAGGATACGGACAAAAGGCGTAACCTAAAGGGCTCGTTCGTCCACCAGCTCAGCGTGGCTGCCCGAACGGTGAAGGCGGCCGCGTTAGAGTTTGCCCTGCGGGCCGAGTCTGGGCTATCGGCATATATGGAGATAACCTCCGCGGTCAGGTAGAAGACCTGCGAGAACAGGTCGAAGTCCTAACCGCTGAGGTGCAGCGACTTAAGGCTGCAGCTTGTATGCCCCCGTCGAGAGGTCCTGCTAAGGCTTCGCCCGGGGCTTCTAAGGCAGACGATCAACCGCAGCGTAGAACCCGGGCGAAGCCAGTAGTTGTAAGTGTAGAGGACGCCGACCAACCTCTGCTAGAGAGGGTCGGCGTCCTCATTGATCGTAAACTGTGGGCTTTCCGGGAGGAGTTCATCCCGGGCCGTGCAGCCTGCCAGATCTAGGGAGTGGGGGCTTCGGGGCGAGGTGCCGCCAAGAAGGCGGACCCGCCGGTGAAGTCTGTGCCGCCCCCCACCTCGGACCCATCTTTGAGCCAGCTGTTGGGGCGTAAGGCGAGGCGGCGTCAAAAAGCCGCCGCTGCCCCTCCTCCTTCGCGCGATTCGTCCGCGGGGTGGAGCAGGAAGAAACCCTCTGCCCCACCCCCGCGTGACCTTTCCGCGAGGAGGGGAAATAAGACGACGCCAGCCGCCCCTTCGCGGGACGTGTCCGCCAAACGGGCGAAGAAGGCTCCGGGGGCGCAAGGGAAGGGCCCTATGCCCCCCCTTTTTGGCCGCAACCAAACAGGGGCGGCCAAGAAGAAGGTGAAGCAATCGCGGTTACCTAGGGTGGCCGCTATTACGGTCACTGCCCCCGCGGGCAGTGGCAAATGGGTGGCGGACTTCATGGCGGAAGCCATGAAGTCCATAAACCTCGATGAGATGGGCATAGGGTCCATACGTCCGAGGAGGGCGGTCACCGGTGGCTTGATCCTTCAAGTCACCGGCGAAGGAAACGCGGCCAAGGCGGACGCCTTGACGATATAGCTGATGCTATTAGTGTTGCGGATGTCGCCGCCGCGGTGGCGAAGATTGGAGAATGTCCCGAGGGGGACGTCAAGGTCGGCGAAATACGCCGATCCCCCTCGGGCCTCGGAACGGCTTGGGCGCGGTGCCCTTTGAGCGCCGTGTGCAAACTGGTTGCGCGGGGCAGGGTGACCGTCGGGTGGTACTCCCTGCGTGTCTCGGCATTGTAGGCGCGGAAGCTCCAATGCTTCCGTTGCCTAGAAGTCAGGGTGCGCATATTTTTTCGTTCGGCCGCAAAGTGGGGACGACGCGACCATGGTGAGGACCAATACTTGGTGGGGGTATGCAGTGATTTTCACGGTAGCGCTGCGGAGAGCTTCGCGAACGCGCATGAGCACGCTAGAGGGGAATAGTAGTGGGGCTCGAAATACGGGCGAAAAACAGTGGAAGTGAGCCGTGCACGAAAAAATATGCACACCCTGCTAGAAGTCGGACACGTCACGGAGGCGTGTACGAGCCCAGTGGACCGGAGTACATTGTGCTACGTTTGTGGCACCTCCGGTCACCAGTCAAATAGCTGCTCCGCGCAGCCGAAGTGCGCAATTTGCGCCGATTTGGGCCGCCCGGACAATCATAGATTGGGCGGTCCAAAGTGTACCCCGCCCAAACGAAGGGCGGGGCGTTGTGGCGGAGGAGGGGGCGCGACAAAGCCGCCTGCACCTGCAAAGGTGGGGGTAGTGCCCGTCAGGTGGAGGCAATGCAGGCGGAGCCTTCCCCGCACTAAATCGTCTCCTCCAGGGCAACCTTAACCATTCGCGTGCGGCCCAGGATCTGCTGATTCAAACAGCCGCCGATTGGCGGGTTGCCCTATCGGTCGTCGCGGAGCCTTACGCGGTCCCGGACCACCCCTCGTGGTTCTGTGACTTGCGACGCTCTGTGGCGATCGTCTGGCATGGGGGGTCAGAGGACCCTGCCTGCACCCTTGTCGAGAGGGGCGACGGCTTTATAACCGTCGTGTGCTGGCCTTTTTTTGTGGTGCGCTGTTACGTCTGCCCCAGCCGCAGCCTCGCTGAATTTGAGGCGTACCTGGACGGGATTGTACCGATAGTACTTCGTGCCGATTCCCATCCGGTACTCGTTCTGGGCGATGTCAACGCACACTTGCGTGAATGGGGAAACGCTCGGGACGATGCGAAGGGGGAGTGCATTTCGGACTAGGCGGCCGGGTTAGACCTCCGATTACTTAATCAGGGGTCTCACAGCACTTGCGTCCGCTTTCAGCGGGAGTCCGTCGTGCATCTCACGTGGGCTTCCTCTGGGGCGGTGCGCCTTGTGTCGGGATGGAGGGTGGCTGACGAAATAGCCACCCTGTCGGACCAGATCCATATTTTAATGGAGGTGGACCTTGTGAGTCCGGCCCATCCCGGACCCGACCGCCATGACAGCGGTCCACGTGGCAGCCAGCCGCGACGCTGGGCGGTGAAAAAGATCGACGACGATCTTCTCGTCGCAGCCGCCCGCCCTGTGGCCTGGGGAAGGCCCCCTGGGAGGGTGTTTTCTGACCCCGAGAGGGGCGCGGACTGGTTCCGGTATGCCCTTACGTCGATCTGCGACGTGGTTCGCGTGCCCGACGGCGCGTGCAACGGTGGTATAACTTTTCCCACGAGGCTCGCTTCCCCTGTTTTTCGCCCGTATTTCGATCCCCACTACTATTCCCCTCATGCGTGCTCATGCGCGTTCGCGAAGCTCTCCGCAGCGCTATGGTCCCCACCATGTTCGCGTCGTCCCCACTTTCCGGTCGAGGGAAAAGTTATGGCACCGCTGCTGCGGACACTCCGTCCGCATACCGGCCCATCTGTTTGTTGGACGAGACGGGCAAGCTTTTCGAGTTGGTGCTCGCTGCCCGTCTTGTCCGACACCTGTCGCGGGACGGCCCGGATCGGGCAGAGTGCCAGTACGGCTTCCGGCAGGGACGTTCCACTATCGACGCGGTTTTGCGCATTCGGTCCCTGTCGGAGCAGGCCGTGTCCCAGGGCAGCGTGGCGTTGGCCGTGTCGTTAGACGTTACCAACGCCTTTAACACCCTGCCCTGGGAGAAGATACGGGAGGCACTCGTCGCCCATCGGGTGCCCCCGTATCATCGGGAAGTACTCGGGTCGTAC